TAGTTATGGTTACATATGCGCTTCATATACTTTTTGGTTATTTAGAGTTAGTAGCAATACATAGCACTTTCCACACATAGACAAAGAGATCGGAATCGGACATAAAGCCAAACGAAGAGAGATCAAATGATTTTAAAGACATAACCACGACACTATCACTTGTCAATTATTTTATTTTCTCACTTCACATTGTTCCCTCTCTTGTCCTTTCGCTAATTGTACATGACATTACCTTATCTTAAAATATAATTGTTTTGCATTATGTTTCTGTGTAAACCGATTAAGATAATAAAAGTAGGACGACGAACGATCCATACAAAAAGGTTAAAAATAAACAAATAACTACAAATAACTACAAGGTCTTTTTAAAATCAATACGGCGACATAATATGTATTGAATTTCATTACAAGTATACTATGGAGATGCATACACTTGGAGAGAATATACGAGCATGCGTGACAACTGACATGAACATGTGAACATAAGATCCAAAAACTTCAATATTTTAATGAAACTTTATTAACTTCTTCAGGGTCTGTCCACAAAATCCACAAACGTAGCACCAAATGATTATTAGTTTTTAGTATGCTTAATGTCTTTAACTATTAAATTCGTTGAGATCCTCTTACTATATATACTGACCAAAGATTTAGTGTTTGTACACTAACTACAGGGGCAGTTTTTTTTTGTAAAATGCAAAATCATGAAAGCTATGTTATTTTTACCAAAGATATCTAGCGTGGTATAAAAACAGTTGTTCAATGTAAAAACAACCTACTATGAAAATGGTACATGTAAAACTAGTGGCGGAGCTAGAATCTTATTTTATTGGAGTCAAATTTTTTTTTTAATATAAAGAAAATACATTAAATATTTGATTTTTTTTTTGTGTTTTTTGTAAACAGTTAAATAATATTAGGTAAATATTTATTTTATTTAAGATAAAATATGAGTCTAAAATTTTATTGGAAGACTAAATTTCAAGTATTTGAACTATTTTTTGTTTCATGTTCCAAAAATTGTTTTTGGTTGGGATCATTTCAATTATTACTAATAACAAACATATAATAGAGTTTTAAAAATCGTTCATCATGATCCCCCTACCAAGGCATTGCCTCCCCCCCCCCCCCCCCCCCAAAACCATTTTTGGGTTGGAAATTATAATTGTAGAACCGTGAATCATCCATTAAATCGTTCATCATGAATTTTTTTTTTTTTTTTTTGTCAACCATATGAAAAGAAAGTTATTATTACAAAAAGACTATTAAAACTCTTTTTGAAACATTATTTTTCCTTCAAATGAAAACTCAACAACCAAAATACCGTATATTTAAAAGAACAAAAAAAAAGATGTTGCTCAATCAGCCACAAAAAAAAAAAAAAAAAAAAAAAAGTTTAAAACCTTCTCTTCAGCTTGAGGTTATGTTATTGATGTGTTTCTGTACAACGACGCCGTTTACCGTAGTCCGTAGGCCGAGATGAAACTTTGGACAAAACTCAGATACGGCTGATGTCACGACCGAAGACGAAAGTGGTGAACCAGTTGATGGCGACATAGAATCGGTTTCTCCAGCTTACGACTCGAGTCAGATACGCCGACCTCCATATGAACCAGCTCACGAAACCAGTCATTGATATCCCTTTTGCGTCCTGCCCAAGTAAATCTTCCCTTCAAACACAAGTTTATGAGTGAAATTTCAAAGACGAGTGAGTCAAATTATGTTACCTTGCTCTCGCGAAGGTCGACTAGTGCTTTGTATCTACCGATCGTAGCCATGCTTCCAAGGTGCTTATACACAAATGGAGCTCCAAGTTCTATCTCCTTTGCGCTGTTGGCCCGTCCTCCATTGGCTTTCCCGATCTCATTTAGTAGATTCGCCAAGTATTTGCCTTCTCTCTCAGCTACCTTAATTGATCAGTGACATAGGAGAAAGGTATAAGAAGAGATGAGAGGTAAAAAAAAGTATGCAATTTATCTACCTGAGCGAGAGCAGGAAGGGTTGGTTTTCCGGTGGTCTCCAGATATCCGCTGCAGTCACCAATGGCAAACACGTCTTGTACAGAAGGTACACGCATCCATTCGTCAATGCCAATCCTATCGAGGTAAACATCCAAAAAGTCGAGTTGCTGTTGAATATTTTTTTAGCAAAAAAGGGTTTAATGGAGTGATCTTGATGAACTAACCTTCCAGTAGGATCTTTTGGAAGACCAAGAGACCTAACGAAAGAGGAAGGACCAACACCAGTGGACCAAACTAAGAGTCCATAGGGAACTTCTGTGCCATCGTCAAGTATTAGCTTCTGAGACTGCACATCTTTCACAATCCCACGCACAAACCGCACTCCAGACTAATGTAAATGAAAACCAGTAGTTTTTAAGAAGAAATGCTCCATAAAAGTTAGCTCAAAACCTTTACATGTTCTAACTTCAAAATGAGTTCACCTTGTTCAACTGCTTGATAGCATATCGTCTGAGACGATCATCGAAGGATGAAAGTATATCCCTGGCCTGTAAAAAATTACTCAGCTCAAAAACAATTCGTAAGGTGATAAAACACGCATAAAGAGGATTTGAAAGAGCAGAAACAAACCTCTATCAAAGTAACATGAATGTCGTCCTTCACATGGGAATATCGTTGACGAACATCTTTCATAATAAAGTCACTCAGTTCACCGCTAAACTCAACACCAGTTGGTCCACCACCAACCACAACGCAATGTAACAGCCTCTTTTTCTCCTCTTTCGATATGCCTAATTAAAAGCAATTATGCAAAGACTGTTACGTTCTAATTCCGAGTCTGATTATTATCCTTCAGGGGATGAATTCTGTTTACCAGGAGTATCAGAGAGCATCAGGTTTAAAAGTAGCTTCCTACGAATCTCCTGAGCATGGTGAACTTCACGTAGGAAGATCGCGTTTTCCATGACACCATGGATTCCAAACGTGGACGCCTCTGCACCGCTAGCTACCACAAGCTTATCATAAGCAATCTTGAACTTCCATGGCTTTAATGTATTCAAGCCATCAGTTAAAGTCTCACAGTGAACCTGTTACCAATATAACAACATATTAAACCTCATGAACTTCACAAAAAACAAAACTGTATCTCACACTTCAGTACCGTTAAGAAACTCCATTACTTCTCCCTCTATCTTCTTCTACCATCAACAACTCTCAAAAATCAAGCTAATTTCTCTAAAACTAAGAGATACATACATTAACACCAACCTAAAAGCCATAGATTTGCATCTTAAACTTAAACATGGTTCCTGCATCATCAATGACCAAATTTAAACACCTAATCTCAGAAATCAACAACACCGAGAAACAGAAGCAATACCTCATGAGCCTCAGCATCAAGACGAGAGCAATTAGCGAGGAAGAAATAAGAGCCAGGCTCTCTAGAAATCGCAGGTTGAATACGCGAAATTGGCTCAGCGACAGACCTAAATTCGAGAGTACCAACACAAGTAGAAGCAAGAAGAGGAGTGAAAACCATATGGTTTCTCGGAGAAACACAAACGACGTCGTAGAGATTCGTATCGATTCCTTTCATCAATCGACAACCCGCCCAACCCGACCCGAGAACCACCACTCTCGGTTTCTCTCCTTCTCTCGTCGGTGCTAAACCTGCATATTGACTCCGATCCACACCATTTGGAATTTTAGCCGGAGATTGAATCTGAGTCTCTGAAGCTGTGCAGAAACGGGAAGCGAGAGTGTATGATCCGGTGCTTCTGAATCTGGTAACGATTGATGATGAAGTTGGTGAGATTCGTGTGAGGTTTTTGATCAAGAACATCGTTTCTTCTTCTTCTTCTTCTTCGTCGTCTTCTTCGTTGAAGAAGCTTCTTCAGTCAAAGTGATGGATTCCGTTTAGGAATTGGCTTCCTGAGCTTTGGGGAGCAAGCATTTGAAATTTTCTCGACGAAGAAGATTCTCTAAAAGTCTTTGGGCCTATCTGTTTATTGATTGTTGGATTTATTGAATATAGAGATGGCCCATAAACAAATTAACTCATGTGAATCAAATTGGACCATTTTTTTTAATTCTTCCAGTCATATTAAAATGTTATTTATTTTATTAGCCTTACCTTTTTTTTGTTCTAATATTATTGTAAAACTTTAAATTCATTTAAGTTTTAATATTGGAAAAAGAAAATTTGATTATTGGGAGGACTAGCCTTGGACGGAACCATGTTTAATGTGAAAGCCATAATCATCATAATTCATTATATTTTGAATGGATATGTAGAAAAAGCTGACTAAACCGTTAATGAACTAAATTACTTTATTTTTGGAACGGACAACAAATCATTTTGGACCAAGTTTATCTCTATATAAAAGTAGTATGTAGCTAGTCTACCGTGGATTTGTTCTAAATTATTTAATCCATATTACTACGAATTGTAGTTTACTAATGGTAAACAAAAAGCTGTCTAAACCGTAAACGGATTTGTCCATCCTAACCGCCGCAACCATTCGAACTCAATAAAAAAATATTTCTAGTCTATTTTAGCCAATTAGCCATGTTCTTTTTATCACCGACAACTTTCCTTTATTGCATCGCATGTAAGTAAGATTAATTAGTTAGTTTTTTTTTTTTGGTAAAAGGTTAATTTTATACCATTTTCTGATTTTTTACTATACAGTGTTGATATATACAACTAATATAAGCAAAGAAAACAAGCTTAATTAGTTAGTTGATTAAGTTGAGAAATACCTTTCAATTTTTTTTTTTTTTGTGTTTTTCTTCTCGTATTTGAAGATTCTCAAGCTACTAGAAGTCCAACCGAACCAGCATGCAAGAACACTAGCTAAGAAACCTCATGATGCACTTAAGAATCACAACAATAATATGGTATTTTCTGAAATCAATCTTGGTAAAAATAACAAGTTCAAGTCGATGTAGAAAGAACACAAATGCAAACGAGGTGTTATATATATATATATATATATATATATTACAAAGTCAAAAAAAAAAAAACAGTCTGATATTACATATATAACACGTTTTTTTTTTAAATACTTTTATTGCTTTCTATATATATAGATTATTTGCCACTTTGCAAGAGGAGCTGGGAAATTTTAAGAAAATAAGATTGTTATCCTCTCTCAACGTCTGCGGCTTCTGCCGCCATGCGGTGGATCGTGTCTACCGTTAGCTGAAGGCTCACCGTAGTCGTTGGTGCTCACCATCAATGACCGTTCTGGCACCACCGTCATTTCATTTTCTGTCATATGCATATTTTGTTGTTTATATACATTTAAGCGTACTAAAATATAATGATGAACAATAATTAACAATAACAACTTTTGTATATAAAAACTATGTAATTAAATATTAACAACTAGAGTCCAGAGTATCTAAAAACAAACCTCGAATCTCGATACCCTCATTTCCAATTTGTTTTTGAACTATGTCGAAACTCATTCAAAATTTATGTTTTTATTAAACCATTTTTTTTTTATGTTTTGTTATTTCTGTAGAAATTATATTATTTAGAATTGAAATACCTTAAACATCTAATAAAAATTAACATAAGATGTATTATTTTAAGAGATATGCTAGTATTTGTATAAACTGACAAACATATGAAGACCAATCCATAACACAATTGCTATTCTGTTTCTTTGATATATTTTCATGTGCAATTAATGTTAATACTGTAGATTTAAAACACACAAGCTCGGGTAAAACAAAATAGACCTTTTTCTTCTGTTTGGAGGTTCTTAAAATCGAAATCTTTGCTTGGATTTTAACAAATACGAGGGACTTAATTAAGTTCCAGTTCAAGTTGCTAATTTATGCAATTAAAAAAGATATGTCAGGTTGATTAAATAGTCGTAGTATGATCTGTCCTTGTTCTTTTGTCGTAATGTCAACGCTTTTGAAGTGTGAACATAAATTAAATTACTCATTATAGGCTATCATATTACGTTATATTTTACTTTACAATAAGAAGCCTTAATACTATATTGTTTTTATCACCAGATTTCATAGTTAATAGCTTTGATGTGACATACTTTCTTACTGGATTCGTCGGCATAAGAAAAGATATAAAATATATAAGAGTTGGTCGTGTGGAAAACTCATCGGCGAAAGGGGGAAGACAATCTCGAGCGTCGTGTTTCATGTTCACTTGATTTGAATATAAAGAGAAATTGGATGCATACAAGCTGGAAACAGAGGACATAAAACTATAACTTGTTTAAAAAATCAACTCTTATTTAACAAGTATTTTCAGCAAAAATACGCATCCTCATATTTATCATTTTATTGTCAATTTACTTCAGTTTTATAGTTTTAAAATTGACTATTATATATAGATGTGAAATCTCGTGATTTTGTTTGCATGGTATAATGTCGATGGCAGGGCCGTAGCTATGTAAAGAAAATAGAAACATTGGCCTACGACCTTTTTATAAAAAAAAATTATTAACCCTTTGAACTTTTGTTTTTATAATAACATGCAAACATAGTGGTTTAAAGCTTTTGTTTATTAACACAAGATTTTACAAACAAAGATAAAGTAAATGAGATTACGTTTTGAATTATTAATTATGAGTTATAATTTACAAACTAAATTATAAATTGTAAAAGAGTTAGTATAATTTATGATGATTAGTATTTTATAAACGTTATTTTATATGTATTCAAGTAGAGTTTGGTCTTGGGAAAAATCTCAAATCCTTCCAAAACAAATGTTGTATATGCACCCGTAGATCGATTTCCCATTTGTAAAGGAACTATTCTTCAAAGGAGAGTTATTAACCCTCTTTAATCTAACAGATTACTAAAATTTATCTATGTTTTATATGAGTTGATGTTTTTTTTTAACACCACCTCTGATCTCCGTAATCTTGGGCACGGCTCTAGACAATGGCATGCACTAATCTAAAAATGTGAGAATACTTGGCATGTAAATAGAATTGGTAATTTTGCTTTGTAATTTACCAAATGTTTTATATTGTTCCACTCGAGTCTCTAGTTCACTACTTGTATCTTTTTCAGCGTTTTTATCTCTTTTATTTGCTTTGTAATTTTCAAATGTTGTCTCTTTTGAAAAACACAAGGTGAATAAAGGCTTTTTATTAATATCTATATATATATATATATATATATAAATTTGGTAACGTTCTAATTAATTTCTGATGACAAAAAAAAGAATTACATAGTAACGTTCATATAATTTCGAAAAAATAACTTCAAAAACGATAAATTAGGCAAGAAAAAATTGAAATGTCTTTTAAATATAGTTCGCCTGCAGAGCTAACACCGACTATTACGTACTAACCCGGGTTCATATGTTATTCACTGCACTTCATTTGTCTATCGAAACATATATATTACATATATATAGGTCGTAAAAGATTCTGTGTATGCATTTAGGGATATATCATTAATCTTTTGTTTATGTAATTAAGTTTTTCTTTTTCTTTGTTTTTGACGAATTAAGTTTTTTCTTTTCTTTTGGTGATTTTCTGGAGCATTCTTTTAAGACATACACTTTTCTACATACGGATCATGCACGGCATCACCGGGCACAAAATACCTGAATGAGATCTCTCACCCACTAACTTAGAAAGTTTTAAATATACATAACGGAAAAAACAAAGCTTATATATGAGATGAACCATGTTCTAAAAAAATTATTTTGAGACCAAAAAAACAAAAATCTTATGAGATATTAAACGGATACAGATTATGGTGAGGTTATAAATATAGTGCTTGGAGATTGGATAATCAAAACCATATTATCATATAAAAGTAAAATTAGTTGGATTAATTACTGAGGAAACAGAGAAATAAAAAGGTACCTGGAAATGAAACACTGATGCGAGCAGAAGAGAGGAAAGCAAATGTGAAGAAGAGGAACATACATAACCAAAATCTCGACGATGAAGAACCCATTTCTCTCTTTTCTTTTCTTTTGTATTTCTCTCTCTCTCGTTCACCTCTTTTTATATTTGTAGACGCCACAAAAAGTCTCACACCGGCCCTCAGTTTTGGAAGACTTTGTTAAATTATATTATATACACTTTTTAGATTTATTATACTTGCTTCAAACCAATAATTTTAAGAGCATTTTGTCAAATGTGTCACAATTTTAGAAAATTCTAGCAAATATACCACATTGCAAATCAATTTAGCATCTATACCATTTTTGGTGTTTGTATGGTAGAGGTTGGACGATTTTACCCTTCTGCCTGCGTCAGGAATGTGTCAGGGGAAGGAGCTACAGTCAGACGCCGGTTGGGAAACGGGGAGCGGCTGCATTAAATGGATGTCTCCAGATCTTGTCCCCGATTGAAAATTCTCTGTTGCGTCTAGATCTTGTCCCCGATTTCATCAGCTTGCTCTTTTATCATGAATCCCATATGATATGGTTTTACCAGCCCGCAGAGATCTTAATTATCCATTGCAGATGATGTGGTTTTACCAGCCAGCTCTGTAGATAACTCGGGGACAACTTGATCTTTATTTTATTCTGCCAAAGAACCGAAGACGAAGATCTGGATTTATTCGGGGACAACTTTGTTTTACCAGCCAGAGGGACGAAAACGGTTACCAATGCGCCAGGAGAGAGAAAAAGGACGGCAGAAATTTCGGAAGGTCACATCAATCGCAGTTCCTTATCTCACCAGTTGGAGGGTAAAATGGTCAATTTACAAACACAATGTAGTATAAATGATAATTGAGATTCAAATGTGGTAGAAGTGATAACTTTTGTGGAAAAGTGGTACCCAATCTAATTTTCCCTAATTTTAAAACCATTTTAAAACATATTTTGCCTTTTAAACATGATTGCATTTACATTTGGTAGGTATGATAAGATTGACGTGGATCCCCTCCTCCCCTCCCCCAAATAAAATTAGAATTAAATTCAAAAATATTTTTTTTATATACTAACGTAAATATAATTAGTTTATCACATTTTTTTATATTAGTTCATCACATATATTCGCTTTGATAGCTCTTACTCGACTTGAAAAATATGGATAGCTTTAATCTTTTTGAGATGAGGATCGTCTTGTATCTAATAGTGACTTAGGTTGAAAAACACTACGACTCTGTTATCTCCAGCCAGATATTGTAGATAGTGCTCTGAAAAGTTTGACGAGCTTTGTTACCACTTACCACTAGAGCTAATGGATTTTTCTTCTAAAGAATTGGCCTCTAAAACTAATAAAGATATTACAAGGCTTCAAACCCTATCTTGCCATGTTTCTGCTCATGATAATGAAAGTTGACTTTTGGAGACGTATCTATAATACAACACATACACACACTCATAGAAAGTTGACATTTGGAGAATTTTTTTTTATATTTCTTATTATTTTGCAGCTAGCTAAAGAAAGTGGGGGAAAAAGATTATTGAATCGAAAACATTAATCTTAATGGAAACTTAAATCAAAATATAGGAATTAGATAGAAAATATTCACTTCACATTATATAACTAAATTAAATAGCTTGTTAAGTAGAAAACAATTGATTTTTATATACATATCAAAATCGAACAAGCTTATGACAATTGTGTAATCTGATAAATTATGATTAATCACATATCATTTTTTTGTTGAAAACATGTACCACTTTTTACAGTAGCCTACTTCCATAGTTTCACAGTAGCCTACTTCATGCGATCGAACCCGTTTCTGCAAGCTTTTGGAATTTAACAGTACTCGAGCTCAAGTATTGGGTTGACATATATTTTCGACATGACAAGTAAATAATTATGTTTAAAGATTAACTACTTGGATCACGAATTTAGATTTTAAAGATATGTGATGTGATTGATGATCATACATTAATTATTGATTTCAGTGAGTTAATAAAAATCTACTCTTAGTTAGAGTGAATCAAAGAAAATAAAGTTTTATTATTATGTTTCTAATACAATTTTCGATTTTCTGACAAACAAATTATACAATTATTATTTAAATTTTAATGTTTTAAGGTAAGGTTAAAAAACATGTCTTTTTGTAAGAAGATAATAACAGTCACCAGAACAGATGTCAAGTAGAAAAATATTTTACTTTTTTAGTTTAATGAGATATATATATAAAGACTCATGTAATTAATAATTTATGTTATGGTAAATCAAAGAAAATTAATCTTTTTCTTAACTTTAACACATGTTAGGACTGATTTAATAAGAAAATCTAAATATATGTCAAAATATTACGAAACACCAAACAAAATTGTTGTAAACTTTGATTAAAATAAATTGTAATTCAAATGTTCAATTAATAGTGAATCTTATGATATTCATGCAAAAAAAAAATCTGATATTTTTAGTTACAAACTCTTAATTACAATCACCCACGCAACACAATTTTATTGTTATCTATATGTATTCTTAACCCATAACAAATTCTTCAACAGAAACCTAATATTCACATATCTTCGGTGCTAAATCATATGGCAAGAACTGAGTTGTGTCGAGATAAGCCGTTTGATCCAAGCCATCCATTGAACATCCGGGTAAAGTTGAAAGCATCAGACACAGGTTTGAGTAATACGTTAACAATGCCTAAAGAGTTAGTAGAGAAAAACTTATTTCCATGGTTTAGTAAACATCGTTGTGTAAAATTGTCACAACACGATTCGGTACAATTGGTGGATTTATTCGAATACGATTCTAAAATAACAACAACTCTTACTATGAAAAAAGAGAAAGATGGAAATTTCAAATTTTACGGATGGAATAACATTCTCGATCAAAGGAAGTTCAAGACTGGTGATATCATTGGATTTTGGTGGGATAAATTTTATGATAGACTTAATTTTGAACTACTATCGAGTGCTTGATTGATGAACCGGACTTCACAACATCATTTCTCGAATATGTATATCGGGTCTTGTCGTGTTTGATCGAGACTGGTTATAAATATATTCCTTTTGCTTTGTAAGATGATATATTATAAATATTAAGAAAGAATCGAGAGAAAAATTGGCTCCATTGTTTTTTTTTTTAATGTGTAACTTAAAAACTCATAAAACAAAGCATAACTTCTGGTTTTGTATCCAATATCTTCAAATTTTATGCAACAAACAAGTTTACACATAACATAAGAGATCCAAATAGTTCAAGTATTCAAAAGGATAGTACCAAATATCATCGTTTTTTGAATCCGTATTTCTTCCGTTCATAGAACAGATCGGTTTTCGCACTCCCAAGGTTAACAATCTTGGGACAACCATCTCTGTCTTTCTCTTGTTGCGTACACTCTTTGCAGTAATAAGCATCTGAGATTCCAACCCCTCCGCATATAACACACCGACCTTGGAATGACCCGTAGTTGCATTCATCACAAATACGTACCAGAGTACACGGACGCACGTAAGAATCACATATCACGCATTTCCCGTCGCATTTCTCACACAGTCTTCCTATGGCAATTCCGGGTTGTTTCCGGCACATGATCAAATCAGGGTGATGCTTCGCCATAGCTACCAAAACAGTGCTCAATCTGCAAACCAAAAAAAAAAAAAGGAAGAGAGGTCATGTGTCTATAAACTCCTTCACAAAGACCAAGAGATAGATTCAGAGAGCTTGTAACAAACTGTTAAAGAAGGAGAAAAGAAAGTAACACTTCCAAAAGAAGATTGTCTACAAATAGTTTCTCAGAGGAATTTCGTCGAACACCTTACAGGCATAAGTTCCAAATCAAACATTACTCTTTTCTAACTTCCAATTTCAGAGGCCTACTCTACTACCCAACAAAACTGTGGAAGAGAAACTATCGATAAGCAAATTGAAATCTGATTAAACTACCTAAAGCTCCATCAATAAGCATAGACATTACAAACCCTAAAAATTCAGAGCAACGAAACCAATAAACACAGAAACGAAAACCCAGAAAAATGGTAAAATAGTACTCACAAGTAAAGGGAGATCTAGCTCGAGCCAATCAAGAAGAAAGTAGCGACGAGAAATTTCCAGAGCGCAAAGAGCAACGAAGGAGACGACGAAGCAGGAGAAATAAAACGAATCGGGTCGGATTCTACTTCTACACCAATGACGAAGTATCCAGATTAGTAAAGTCGGTCCAATCATGGCCTGTAAAGCCCAAAGTAAAAAGCCCATTATGAATGGACCAGATTAGTTAAGTCCGTCCAAACCAAACCGGTAGACAATTTATTAAACCATGTCCTAATCAATAGTACCCAATTTAGACCAGGTCAAAAACGGTCCCGTTTATGAGTGTGCGACTGCGCGACTGCCACTGTCAGTGCCAAATTGGTAATTTCATTGACCGTTAGCTTTGACTTGTTTTGACCAGCGTGACGTGGCTTTATTATACTTTGGCAAATGGTAACAACATAGTGACGTGGCTTTTTCCACAATTATAAAGGAAATGATTATATTCTAGACATGGAGGTAAAGTAAAGCAAAGAATCTAAATATTTGTATTTGCTCTAACAAATACAAAATATTTGATACCTTGTGACTTGTGAGAACATAAAGAAGCTTGCTTATTTATACTAATATGTACTTATTTCTTGAAAAAAACATTTAGAGCGTGATACGTTTGTTTTAACTTTTAATATTACACATTGCTTTGATGTATTCCCCAAAAACGTTAAACAGTAAATCGAAATTCACTAATACTAATAAATGTTGCTATTTATGGGTATACTATAAATAATTAAATTATTATAAGAAAATAAATTAAAACCCGACCCCATATTTTTCGTCCTTTAAAAAGATGGAGTCCTCAGATCAAAACATTACGTATTAGTAAGTTCCATGCAAAGGACGAACATTATATAATAACAACTTCTCTTCTTCTCTCTCTTTCTTTTTCTCAAGCTTCTTTAATGGCGGCTGTTCAATGTCTCACTTTCCTCTTCTTGTTTCTTCTCCAAAACGCCACGTCAGCTTCACCTCTCCCTTTCTTCCGGCGGCCGAACCAAAGCAACTTCGCCAAGCATCCTCGCCGGAATCCGGTGGTTCTGCCGGTGAATCACAGTAGTTGTGATCTGTTCGCCGGAGAGTGGGTGCGGGACGAGACATACCCACTTTACCGGGCTAAAGAATGCGGTGGAGGAATCATAGATCCGGGATTTGACTGTCAGACGTACGGCAGACCGGACTCCGACTACCTCAAGTTCCGGTGGAAACCATTCAACTGCAATGTCCCTAGGTTATATAAACTCACTGTCACTGTCTCTACTTTATTAGACCGATACATCGATTTAGTTAAATTATTTTGGTCATTGTTTACTTTCATTATCCTGTTTTTTTAGGAAGAAGTATTCGTTTTATTGATATGTTATAATCTGAGTATCTGGCATCCAATAATCTGAGTATCTGGCATCCAATCTAAGATGTATGTTTTAGCAAATGAATTTTTAGTAGGGCCACTACACCAACCAAGATTTTTAAATTTGATTACTTTATGAAAAAGACAAAAACAAATTCTAGCTGGGTTATACCAAAAATGTCATATACATAGTATTTGGATCATACAATGATCCCAAAAAAATTGTTTATATTAATTTTTTTTAATAGTTATGGACATTCTTTCGTAACATTTTTTCATAATTAGGGGTATTATTACATACATACATCTATATAATATTTTTATCTAGTATTAGTTATGTTATAAGAGATTCGCCTTTTCTAGTTATAATAAGTACAAGTTTAGAAGATTCGCTTTTATCAAAAAACGAATTGATTTTACTGTTGATTAGGTGGAGTTTGGTGCGGTTAATATAATACTAGTACTTATTATTGTAATGTTGACGCAATGAGTTATTTATTGAAAATTTCTGATTTTATTTGGAAAGCAGATTCAATGGGGTGAAGTTTCTACAAGAAATGAGGGACAAAACGATAATGTTCGTTGGTGATTCGTTGGGTAGAAACCAATGGGAGTCGTTGATCTGTATGATCTCTTCATCAGCACCGTCCATTAATACACACATCATTCATGAAGATCCTCTCTCTACCTTCATGATCCTTGTAAGTTCCCAACACAATTCTTCTATTGTCGGTAAATGAAACTTTTTTTTTCTTGGTTCAATTTTCTAGAATAACCTCGTGAAAATTGAGGTCAAAAGTTGTAATTTTGAACGTCGTTTTCAAACTGTTATTAGCTAGGCAACTTGACGTCGTCGGTGACAGTTTCACTGGTCCAATTAAACAACATCAATTACTAATCTATCAGTTACTTGGAGTACTTGTTATTGGTTTTTACTTTTTAGTTTTAAGAATTCTAATACTTCTATGCATAATGCATGAATATGGAATATTATTTTATTTTCAGGTACTAATTAGATCTAAGCACTTCGGATTAGAATAGGATCCACTAGAAAGAAACAAGTTCTCTTAACTAATCTGAATTATTAATTTTCTTGCTATAACGTTAATTATAATCTCTTTTATGGTAATTCTCTTTTCTTCATTCTCTTTTATGCTAATGCTCATTTTCGCTCTATTCACTCTTTTATAATCTCTCTTTCTTTTGTTTCTCTATTGTTAGTTACCATGCAAACTTTAAGTTATACCTCAAATCACGTCCAATTCTTTGCTAATGTGTATATGCAATGACAGGACTACAACGTGAAAGTGTCATTCTATAGAGCTCCTTATCTTGTAGACATAGACAAAATTCACGGAAAGACAACTCTTAAACTCGACGAAATCTCTGTCGATGCATCGACCGCTTGGCGCACAGCCGACGTTCTATTGTTCAACACTGGTCACTGGTGGAGCCACACAGGGTCTTTACGAGGGTAAGCTAACATTATAACCTCTATATGTGAATTTTTCACATACCTATAACTAGGAGTGTAAAATAGATCGTTATTCCAAAGTAATGGTGTAAAATATTGAGTGAATAGTGAAAGTTTTTGGGATGAGACAGGTGGGAGCAGATGGAGACAGGAGGGAGATATTACGGCGACATGGATAGGTTAGTGGCGTTGAGAAAAGGACTAAGAACATGGTCTGGTTGGGTCCTTCGTTATATCAATTCGCCTCTCACTAGAGTTTTCTTCCTCTCCGTCTCACCCACACACTACAAGTATGTACACTCTCTTTCTTTCTCTTAATCCTAAAACTAAAATAGTAAAATGAATTATTCAACCACTAAACTTTCATAAATTAGTTTTTCTTTGTTTTTAATTCACTACACGAGACTTTGGGACTTGGAGCTATGTGATGATGTTGATAATTAACACTACTCGAGACTCATATAAGCACGTGTAGTGTACGTTAGTATTTGATAAATAAGTTATCTTGATATTAACGACGGAAATTTATAGATAGAAAACACATCTAAACAAATGCGTTGGATAGAGGTTTTTTTGCTAGATGTTGCCAAACTATATTAAATAAATTGGCTTGCTAGTTGCTCCCAAACCACTCTCTAGTACCCACCATTGTGCATGGCCTTTGCTAGCTATAGCTAGAAAGTGTAGACGTGATAAAAATACGTGTGTATATATATAATTGTAGTAGTTTTTCTTTAAATGTAAATAACGTTCCATCAAAAAGTAGTTGCTTATGAGTTATTATATGTCATTTCAAAACGAAAATCCATTTTATCCCTGTCAAAAAAATGAAGATGGCTAATGGCAATTTGGCATGGTGTATTATTTGCCGTCGAAAAGAGATTTAAATATTGCATTAGTGCAGAAAAAAGAAAGAAACAAAAGGATAAGAATAGTTTTTTTTATACATAGAGGTCCACATATGAGCTGTGTTTTTGAATAGGGTCCCAAAAATAATAGTCCAATTGTTTTAGTTTTGCCAATGAGAAAGCTTCTCTTCCTTGCAACTTGCAAAAAGATTATACTATAAAGTATAAACATAGCCACCAACATAACAATTAATGTTGTATCCTACCATTCCTATAATCTTTAATAAAACTGTTCCCTGCTACTGTTTTTCTATAAAACAATAAGCTTATATTTGTGATGTTAGCCCAAACGAGTGGACCTCAAGATCAAAAACTTCAACGATAACTCAGGGAGCCAAAAGCTGCTACGGGCAAACGACACCGTTTAGCGGAACATCGTATCCAACAAGTTCTTACGTAAACCAAAAGAAAGTTATTGACGACGTTGTTAAAGAGATGAAGTCTCATGTCTCATTGATGGATATAACTATGCTCTCTGCTCTTCGCGTCGACGGTCATCCTTCCATATATAGTGGAGATCTCAACCCTTCTCTAAAAAGAAATCCTGACCGTTCTTCTGATTGTAGCCATTGGTGTCTTCCTGGTCTCCCTGATACTTGGAACCAATTGTTTTATGCTGCTTTGTTGTATTAATATTTGATTAACCAAGATCAAGCAAGATCAAGCAAATATATAGTTTCCTAATTTTTATTTGTAAGTTCACTAAGTTTGTTACGTTTAATCAAACATATAATTGTGATTGGTGAAATAATTTGTTGTTAAAGATAAGTCGAAATCGAATAAAGGAAAAAAGCATTCGTTGATAACAACATTCTTCGAACACTTTAAAATAAAAAGGCCTATACATTGGGCTTGAAGCTCCTCAATTTAGGCCCATCTCAATTATAGTTTAAATCCCAATTATCCTGATTAAATACGCTTAGTATAGTAGTAGTACTACTCTTCTGATTTCTGGGTGGATAATAATTTATTTTTTTAACAACAATTATTTTTAACTGTAACTTTGAAATTTTTGATCGAAAAGTTTAGGTTTAGCCGTCTACTATCTTTGTATCATCATCGTGAATAAATAGGAGATCATATTCTCTTAAACAAGATATTAAATATATATATATATATATATAGTAACTGTGTTTGTATATTTGTATTGGGGTAATTAGTATCCTCAAATGCCAAAAAAAAAAAGAAAACAAATAGACATCTTTTCAATGTAGAGCAACGAATCTTTTATGTTGGTCATTACTTTTTGTTGATGCGAATATTTGTATTTTTTTCTCATACGAATGTTACTATTTTAGTTTCGAAAGAAAAACAAATTTTAGTTTGAGAAATGCAAACTGTTGATCTAGTTAAAGGACGCCGATGTTCTACTTGTTTTGTCTTTACGGAATAATCCATCGTGGATATAACATATTTATTACTTTTAAGTTGCTAGAAAAAAACTACATTAGGTTGCAATTTTTTTATCTTAGAAAGAAAGAAAAGTTGATTGAAGACAATTTCAACGAGAAACAACGGACGACCGCATAAAAATCCTAATTAGGGAGTAGAAACCTACTTTGCTTGATTAATCATTTCATTCGGTCAAAAAATATATACTCATCTTAAACCAAGTCCAATCGTTCAAGTAGGAGTCTTATATATGACTCAGTCTTCTGTTGAACATAAACAGCATTAAATCATAACTAATAATCATATTATGACTGAATATTGTAATGATTCTAAGTAATGATTTTTCAATTCATTAATATGATTGCAATTTTAAAAGTATGTTGCCTAACCCCTCGGAAATGCATCACATGTGGAAAGTAATAGTTTTATTCGGAATTAATTATTTTTTTATGTCTAATCATATTGCAAATACTTATTAGTAAAGAATTTTTGGTCTTATAATACCGCAAATACTGATTTTCTTTGTTAACTATTCTTTAATTAATTACAAAGACGTAAGTTTAAAACGGAATATATTTTTTGCAACTTTCTAGAGTTGAAGAAAAATCCACTATAAATTTGTGCTAAAGTTATGAATTGTGATAGGGATAAACAAAGATTTAATATTTATAAATAAGAATATATACGTATATATCTTAATGTTTGATCATAATCTATTTTATTTTCAACTATCATTATATATTACGATTTTGTATTCATATTTATGGATATTCAAAAATTAAGACGGTACTATTATTTCAACAAATACCGTTTCAAAGAAAAAAACTTCCGTTAATGATGTCACAATATATAAAATCAAAAGTTAACACTCTCTTTTACCAAAAAAAAAAAAGTTAACACTCTCTTAAGGACTTGAATTTTATAATAAGAAGTCCTCGTGTGAAACGAGATCAATTAAAACTTTCTTTTTTTTTTTTGTGCAAAGATCAATTAAAACTTTATATTTGTCTTTCTCATAATATAATTTTTATTTGTCATAATATAATGTAAACAATGTGACATATCCACCACAACGGTCATCAAATGGAAACAAACAAACGAAGGCTCCTCTCAGACTCTCAACGGCCACTTGCCAAGAAGCTGCGACTACGACCAACAAAAATACTCATCCAATAACGACGACGTGTTATCTCTTGTAGGAGCCACAACGGTCGTTTTAATTCTTTTAAGATTCTGTTTTCATTTAATTTAAAAAGGAAAAAAAGAGTGAGTCATCAATGAAACACTTCTTTAACACAGATACGTTACCAAGTAAATCATCCATATGCTCAATTATTATTATTCGTTGCCTTTTAGACGTGTTTTTGACTTAATATGAATGTCTGTTTTGCCCTCATAAATTAAAACAAAAAATTGCTTACTTCATCGTTTTAGCTATTTTTGGAGTGTGAATTACTGTTTTATCCTCGACTATCTCCTTTGGTTTTGTTGTTTCTCCTTGAATTTTATTTTATTTTTAGACAAGGGCTTTTCTTCTTATTTGCAAATTGCAACGATCCTTTTTTACAATAGAACATGGTCCACTAGACAATGACGTAATTTACTTTTCGTATAAAATTTTACATACCTGTTACATAAAAAAATTGTAAAAACTGTTTTTAATTGAACGATTCTTATTTTACACATAAACAAGTATATTGTACTTAAAAAAATCACATGGATATATGCATTTTTCATTATTAAGAAAATAATGGTTTTCCACTAAAAATGATATTTACCATTATTAAAAAAGAAGACAGAAAAATATATATTTTCCAATTTCAACTTGTATAAAAAAGAGCAATTCTTTTAAAAAATCTTTTTCTTTTAAAAAATCTTTTTCTTTTCTGGTCAATAAGAGTAGTATTGAAGCTATTTTTGTTTTCCACAAAATAATATCCTTTTTGTAGAAAGTAAAGGACAAATCCGTAAATAAAGGAAATGGAAGTTGCAAGGGTATAAACGTCATTAACAAAGTCAAAGAGAAAGACTAAAAACTCAAAAACTTTGAATAAAGCTCGATAAACACGGACTCTATTCAATTCAATATTCATTACCTCTCTTCCTTGTTTATATTTAAACCTTCTTCTTCTTCTCTCTCTCTCCATCGTCACAAAAACCAGAGAAGAAAAAAAAAAAATCAAAATCAAAATCTAGAAACGATGTCTTGCTCCGTCGCCGTTTGTAATTCTCCGGTGTTTTCACCTTCGTCGTCTCTTTTCTGCAACAAAGCTTCGATTCTCTCTTCACCGCAAGAATCTCTTTCTCTTACTCTTTCTCATCGCAAATCTCAAACCTCTTCTCCTTCCTCTCCTTCCACCACCGTTTCTTCTCCTAAATCGCCGTTTCGTCTCCGTTTCCAGAAACCTCCGTCCGGATTCGCTCCTGCTCCGTTATCGTTTGGATCTGAGTCTGTTTCTGCATCGTCTCCTCCGGGAGGTGTTTTGAAGAGGAAACGACCTACAAGGCTTGATATACCGATTGGTGTTGCTGGATTTGTAGGTCCGATTTCGTCGGCGGCGGCGGCTGTGGCTGCGACGCCGAGGGAGGAGAGTAGAGAGGTTGAAAGAGAAGGTGATGGTTATTCTGTTTATTGTAAGAGAGGAAGAAGAGAAGCTATGGAGGATCGTTTCTCTGCTATCACCAATCTTCATGGAGATCGTAAACAGGTAATTTCAATTTTCAATTTCCTTTTGGTTTAGAATTGAATCGAATTGGAGATTTTGATTCGATTGATTAATAATAACAGCTTAAATTAGGGTTTATTCATGCCAGATCTACGTTGATTCGATTAATAAGCAGTAACCTCTAGAATTAGGGTTCTTGATGATGTTGTTTGAGTCAAATTGTTAGGGAAAAATTGAAATTCTGAATCGAATTCGAAGTTTCACTGTAATTATTGATGAATCTCGATGAATTGTGTATTCTAAACGTTGTTTTACTTTGTGTTAATTTGCAGGCGATATTTGGAGTCTATGATGGTCATGGAGGAGTTAAAGCGGCTGAGTTTGCGGCTAAGAACTTAGATAAGAACATTGTAGAAGAGGTAGTTGGTTTAAGAGACGAGTCTGAGATAGCTGACGCGGTGAAACACGGTTACTTGACAACAGACGCAGCGTTTCTTAATGAGAAAGATGTTAAGGGTGGTTCGTGCTGTGTCACAGCTATGGTTAGCGAAGGGAACCTTGTTGTGTCTAATGCCGGTGACTGTCGCGCTGTTATGAGTGTAGGAGGTGTGGCTAAGGCTCTATCTTCTGATCACCGTCCGTCTAGAGACGACGAAAGGAAAAGAATTGAAACCACGGGAGGATATGTTGATACGTTTCACGGTGTTTGGAGAATCCAGGGATCTTTAGCTGTGTCGAGAGGGATTGGAGATGCTCAACTTAAGCAATGGGTTATAGCTGAACCAGAGACAAAGATCTCGAGAATTGAACAGGACCATGAGTTCTTGATCTTGGCATCAGATGGTTTATGGGATAAGGTGAGTAACCAAGAAGCAGTAGATATTGCTCGTCCCTTCTGCTTAGGAACTGAGAAGCCATTGTTGTTAGCAGCATGTAAGAAGCTTGTCGATCTCTCGGCTTCACGAGGCTCGTCGGATGATATCAGTGTGATGTTGATCCCTTTACGCCAGTTCATATAGAAGAGGAGTGGCATCTTAGAAGATTTTAGATATATGATAACGTTAGAACTTTGGAGGTTTTCTGTGATTTAGTTCTTTTTTTAACTTTGATTCATTAATTTATTTATTCTTTCTAACTTAGTGAAAAAAAGCTAAACTTAAATGTGGCTTATGATTACTTGTATGATTCGAGCATTTGTCGAAATTAATCTAATAATCAGTTCTTATTTTATCTTGTTATATATTTCAACACAAAGTGATTGTGCTTGTTGATGCTAACGAAATGAGCTTGGAAGAGATCGACTCGTGTCCGAAATTTAGAGCAAGATAGTGGTCTAGATGTGCGATTTGATGCAGTGTGTTAAACACTATTGAACAAAAACTTTTGAAGTCATTGAATAAGAATAAGAAACTCCTTAATTTGATTAATTTCAATCCACAACTCCAACATATATATATGAGTCCATTTTGAGATGCAACGTGAAATCGACATGACATGTGATCCTGGTCAAAGAATCACTCTGCCACTATTGTTTCGAAGGGGGAACTAAGGTACAAGAGAATTTGATCGAGAAAATAAGTTATACCATAAAGAGAGTTTTCTTAAAATGAAGAACCAAATTCCACTCTGACATAAAACATTGGGCCGGACACAAACCCGAATAGCCCAAAATATATTGTTTGCTCACATGTAGTTTAATTATTTTTTGTCTTGTATCTCTAAGATATGTTCTGATTTTGTCTACTAGTTAAAATCCCGTTAAATCTAATTCATTTTCACATTTTTTTACAGTCAGTCTTGTTAGACATTGAGACTAATACAAATCACTTAAGAAATCTGGTCTATGGTAGACAGATACCCTAACAATGTTGACATAGTTTAACCCCCTTAAATTTTCTATGCATTACATATCAATAAAAGTGAAATGATATACAAATTGTGAAATGCCACATAGATTGAAAACATAAATTTTATATACCTATAAGAAAATAAGCAAAAACAAATCTGTGCGGTGATACGATTACCGACATGGATAAAGTCGATAAAAGGATAAGAAAATAAAAACAAAGGATTGAGTTTGTGAAAAGAGGAAGAAGACAATGGTCAAAGAAAGAACGTAAAAACAACACGTGAATTACAAACACATGTTTTTGTGTTGTAGGCGGAGAACACGTTGTTGTTTTTTGTCTTTCAATGGACCCCGAAAACGGCACGTTGTTCGGCTTTTTCTCCTTTGTTGTTTTTTTTTTTCCGACTCTAATTCTTTCCTTCTAAACTTCTTATTTAACTTTACCAAACCAAATCTCCGGCAATTTAGCATTTCAGTCCCACACACATCATGTGTTCTACCAATTCAATGTAACATTGCTTCCAACATTCAAATTCATCACAAATGTTGAAAGCCTAACAAATAACACCATGACCTACAATATCGACATTGAGTTAATCGCTAAAACCTAACTTTACCTGTATTTTTATTTCCATGTGAAAATCATGGTTTTTACCTTTATTTTTCATCTCATTACAATTTACAAGTCAATGTTTATTTTATTTTATTTTGCAAGTCAATGTCTATTTTATCTTTTGAGCAAAAAATAATTATATTGTTTTCAAGAGGAATAAGGCTTGAAAAGAAGTTGTTGAATTAGACTTGTTAACAAACCCATAATCATTAACTAAATACGCAAAGACAATATCAATAATATAAATCACACTCGCATGCAATTAAATATTCACGATGTAATTAAGACAGAGTTCGTCCACTACAACTGGCCATTGGTTGGCATTTACTATTCTTTAAAATTTAGAATCGGTGTTTTTGCGTGTGGTCCCTCGTTTTCTTAATTTATTAAACTATAGTTCAAGTCATTTACTTTTTTTTTTGTAATTTGTTTAGCAATGTAATTCAGAAATTAATGTTAGGCAACAAAAAAGAATTCAGGATTTCATGAAATGGAAGTGAATCGTAGATACGTGCAAACAATTCACTGGCATTATTTGATTCTAAGCATTGGTCTTTTGTCTTAATGGAATATGCATTTGTTATAAAATTTTCATCGAGAGGTATGTTTATACCTCTAATCGACGATTTGAAATCCCAAAAAAGTTTTAAGTCGAATCCTCTATTTAACATGGTGTCTTCCAAACCCTTTATCTCTGTCAGAGTCTCTCAGAGACTTGAGATTCTTTAACTCTCTTACAACTACAAGTCGAGTAACAACCTCACCAAAGTAATATGTTGTAGTAATATGCAGTACAAGTATTAAATGAGAGCGTAATTTTGCTGAGGTTTTGGAATAAAAAACATGGTTTAATTGACTGATGAAATTACAGAAGTGTTATAGCATTTAAATCGATCAAAACTTCACAAATTTGCTTACAACTTTTTCTAAAAAATATAGATATATAATTCAAATTGTTAAAGACGACACAAAACTGTTGCATCCCTTTCAGAAGTTGCACAAAAAAAAAAAAAAAAGACGACACAAAATTTCAAATATTAATATGTTACATGATAAAAGTTTAGTTAAAATATAATTTTGCATTTTAACTTTTAAACTGCAATAAAATTCACATAACATTTTTGTTAACAACGAAATTCTGAATCTTTGACCCATAATCTCCTTCGGCCTGAAACTAGCCGGGAGAAACCGTTCACATAACATTTTGACAACCCATATATACCGCCTCAACTGTGCTTATAATACTTCGAACATGCAGATATTACTCGATTTGTATTGCTGCCACTTTTACTAACCATTTAGATCATTATCTTGGTGATACGAAGATCAAGTGTGCATGATCTTGAATCAATCCTATAAAAGAAAGCTAAAGATGATGATGTTGTTAGAGCTTTCTTCGGAGTTGCAATAACATAACCATGTTGTATTGTCGGCCACCTTAATATCGAGTTTTTTCTGCTTCGTCGTTGTCTTCTTCTCTCACGACACTTATCAACATAAACAGCAACTTATGTCTCTACTATGTTTTGATCCTTAATTAGTACCTCAAAAATATTATTTTAAAGCAAATCACATAATCTTAAATCAAATGACTCTCTTTCCATTATTCAAAATATATTTTTATAAAGTCTTTAAAACCACGCGCCTTAATGTCAAACACAGTTTCTTGATTACCTTTGCTTTTATTTTGTGTAGATTTTTTCTCTCTTTCTGAGTAATTATACATATATAGAAGTCAATTTCGATTAGAAAAGAACATTAAAGTTTAGTACCAATGAATGACATGTTGCACTTGCAATGTCTAATATGTTTTACAAGTGGATTGTTTCGATCTGTAACTTGGTAATATGGTATGGGTCCATTAAATCTTATAAATAATATCTTATTTTTTGGACTCTAATCTAAAGGATATCCATACAAGTGGTAGACCGTTAATATAGTACTTCACGTTCACGGAAGGGCAGAGATCTTCCCAGAAGCAAACAAATAAAATAAAATTTTGTAACATTAATATATATCTACCTTTATACTCCATAGGTAAGCTGCGGCGGATTTTTTTTTTCATAAAGCGACGTTTTTTTATTAAGTAAATTCCATAGGTATTTAGATGGCAAGTGTATCGACGCAGCAAAAGTATTTTTAAATTCTTAATAAATTAATTAATTAGTAACTTGTGTTTTGTGTCAACTCATGAATTAGTTAACTTACGAGTATTTGAATATGATATTGATGAACTTTATTTGTTGGTCAACATTATTGGGGAATAAGCATTTCAAAATTAAAACTACATTTTTCTTTTCTTTTTTGCATATCCTCAAGGATCACGTTGAGTAAATTATCTGTTTTATTACCCAACAAAGACAAGAAAAACAATATTATTTAAAAGTAGAGGTGGAGGTGGTGAGTGCACGTCAATGGTGCGATCTTCTAGCAAAACATTAGTGAGTTCGGACAACTGGAGTCTTTGGTTCTCTGTTGGAGAACGTGGACCAACAAGTTAGTGACACGTAAGCTTCCAAAGTAGACCCCTCCAAAGATCTCTAGTTTTTTAGGTGCCCAAGTGATAAACCTCTCTCTCAACCCCCTTTTGGACAACTAACTCAGTCGCTACACGTTACTTACTCGCTTCCAATATTTGTTTGGTTCGTTAATTTTTATAAGGTCCTGCCCGTGCTTCGTGTACATACACCGATGCACCCTCGTCGACATCGATTGTTGACACTTTTTATGCACTAAAAGTTAGTTGGACGATGCATATTATTAAGAGCGTCTAATATTGTTTCAATAGCGTTCAACACCTTTTGACGGAACACTAGTGTGAGATGTTATATACTATATAACAAGGGTCGGCCCTGGAAATTTGAAGACCGAAAGCAAACAAAAAAAAAAGAAAAAATAAATTTATGGCCATCATCAATTAGTAAGATTCTGTTAAGAACTTTTAAACTAAAATAGGAAAAAAAAGAATTCCAACTCCTCACATTTATACACAACTCGAGATCTCTAACACTACTGTACATATACATTGTAAAATTCTATCGGCGAACCGCAAACTCAAACTTTTCCAGTTTGGGTTCATGACCGGCTTTGGATGTTAATATACACGCATGCTTTTCGAGATACAATACTTAGGCATGTTTGCTTTGGTAATGTTTTTCAGAAATGCAAAATAACATAATGTTTACGATTTTTTTTAAAAAAATCTACAAGATGTGGAAAGTAGGAAGATCACAAAGTTTAGGAGAATGATTGATTGGATTAGATTAATAAATTATATTCATTGAACGTAGTCTAAATACTGGCAAAAAATAATTATAGCCCAAATCTCTTCATATGATTGGCTATTACGTAATTTGTTATCACGATTACAATTTACAAGAATAATAATACTTCATTCGTAGATTACAACCGAATATTCCATGTCTCTGATTTCCTATAACACGAGAGTCAACAAAGAAAAAGAAAAAAAAAAACTATAACGCACAACAACAACAAAAGTCAACCGAACAAACAAAGGTCCGAAAATCAATCGACACGTTTTGTTAGTTTACCGTTCCCACGACAGCACGACTCGTCGGGCAGATCTCTCAGCACTTGTCGGTCCTAACTTAATGTCCTTAACAGTAAAATTATAACACAAACCGTTTTCTTTGTTGAAGTTAAACGAACCAATTTATGAAACCGTTGACTTATCCATTTTTATCCTTTTCAACGAGACCTAATCAAATCGCAACTTGAATTCTTTGTTGATAAGGATAAAAGTTAAAGTACTCAAGTTTTCTTTCTTACAACATCCCAAGAACTTCTCCAAGTGTCGTTACTGACATCATCAAAGTATCAAAACCTTTCTTCCTAATTATCCATTTGTCTAATTAAAAAAAAAGTTAAACGCTAATTTAATTAAGAAGTTAATACTACTTAATACTGTTTTGAATTTCCCCAAGTGGGAAGTCTTTATGGCTTCACGATTTCAAAATCCAGAAAGACAAGTAGAAAAGAAACATCCACGTCGGATAATTAATTAAAATTCCAACTTTATTTCTCGTTCACATTTGACAGTTCATCACACGGTATAAATATCGTCGTGTGTCCTTGGAAATTTACACACGAAAAGTTAGTTAAGAAAAAAAAAATGGAGAAACAGAACATTATCACAAACACTTCTTCTTCTTGGATTCGTGGTTCTTGTATTGGACGAGGTTGTTTTGGTTCCGTTAGCAAAGCTTTGAGTAAAATCGACGGTGGAGTTTTCGCCGTGAAGTCTATAGATCTCGCCACGTGTCTTCCTTCTCAAGCCGAGTCGTTAGAGAATGAAATCGTTATTCTCCGGTCGATGAAGTCTCATCCATACATAGTGAGGTTTCTCGGTGATGACGTGTCTAAAGAAGGAACGACGTCGTTTCGTAATCTTCATTTAGAGTATTCACCGGAAGGTGACGTGGCAAACGGTGGAATTGTTAACGAAACGCTTCTCCGGCGTTACGTGTGGTGTCTTGTCTCTGCTTTGAGTCACGTTCATGCTAACGGAATTGTTCACTGCGACGTTAAATCTAAGAACGTTCTTGTGTTTAACGGTAGTAGCTCCGTTAAGCTGGCGGATTTTGGATCGGCGGTTGTGTTTGAGAAATCGACGGTTCAGGTTTCGCCACGTGGAAGTCCGCTTTGGATGGCTCCGGAGGTGATTAGACGTGAGTACCAAGGACCGGAGAGTGACGTGTGGTCTTTAGGATGTACGGTCATAGAGATGCTCACCGGAAAACCAGGCTGGGAAGATCACGGTTTCGACTCGCTGAGTCGGATCGGGTTTTCTAACGAGTTGCCTTTTATTCCGGCGGGGTTATCGGAACTCGGGAGAGATTTTTTAGAGAAATGCTTGAAACGTGATCGGAGTCAGCGGTGGAGTTGTGATCAGCTTTTGCAGCATCCGTTTCTGTTTCAAGATCATCATGACTCGTTCTTGACCGAGTCGTCTCCGCGTTGCGTTCTTGACTGGGTCAACTCGGAGTTCGACGAAGAAGAAGAGAGCAACGAGTGGAGACCAGAATCTTTGGTTTCAGCAATGGCAAGGATAAGTAAATTAGCGATGACTGAAGGGGCAAATTGGGAATCTAATGGTTGGACTGAGGTTAGAGACACTTACGAAGAGTCATGGGTAATAAAGGAAGTTCCTGTTTCAACAAGGGTAGAATTGGGATTTAACACATCATCGGAGTCGTCGAGCGATGATTTCGTAAGACAGCCGGAAAATGAAGAGTCGGCGACGGATTTGGCGTCGGCAATGACGTGTGAAGTAATTGTATTGGTGGTAGAGAATATTCAGATATATGCCACGTTTTACACCAGTAGTATTATTATTCGTATTCTATATTGTTATTGTTATTGTTGTTGTTGTTATCATTATCATTATCATTATCATTATCAAAATAATAATAAGAAGAATAAATTTGCGAAATCTACATCTTTCATTCTCAGCCTTAACTTTTTGTTTGGTATTGCATGTGATTCGGATCGGTCTTTCTATCATCATAAAAACTCTTTTACGTGAGTGTCCTTAACTCTCAATTGTTACCTCTTTTTTGTTGATAACTCTCATTTAACACACCCAATTTTTGGTTTGGTAGCTTTTCTTGGACCATATGTTATAGAGTAAAATATTGAAGTTCGTTAGAGAGGAACTAAGACCATGTAATTAAGTATAGTTAGGCTAATAAAGTATATATGGTTAGGGTCAACGTGAAATTGTCAGCCTCTCCTTAAGTTTTTTTGTCGGCGTTGGATAATATTGTTAGGTCAAATAGTCGATGTGAACTATAAAACTTTGTTCAATGTTTAAAAAGGCAGACAATATATATGGTAATAAGGAAGAGAAAATGGAAGATGACGATGAAGTGGTGGGCAACATTGAGTTGGCTTACCACAACTCCATAAGTTTTTCAATTTAGAAAAAAGTATCAACATAGATAATATACGTTTAAATTAAAGAATATTCCACTCTTCATCGCTTATCTCTTCTTCTAAACTTTTTCTTTGTTTTTTTTGCAACACTTTTTTCAATGGATAATTGTGATAGTATGATTGATTCACTTGGTTATTCCGTATGTATATTTTTACGATTTTATGACAATCATCTTTATTGTCACCTAATTACGTACTTTATGTTTTTAAGAAAGTTCAATACTTGGCCAACTTAGCCAGTACCTAGATAGCTAGTGTGGCCGAGCAACCTTTTTCCTCTTTTACGATTTATTGGTATCCCGTATCCATATATCAAAAAGAGACATGTAAATTTGAAAAGGCTTTGTAGTTGAAGAAGATCATCTACTAATAAAGATTAAAGAGAACCAATAATGCGCATATATGTTTGGGATGAGTTTGCGAGATCTGCTAGATGGTTAAATCAAGGAATTTGCAGTTGGTTAGAAATTATGCTGGTTTGTTATTTTGCATTTTTGTTGATTTTTTTTCGAAAAAAATATATCGTTTTTATTTTTAACTGAATTGAGGCTATTTGAGATCTTTACCATGCAATTTTCAAATAAACGAATAAATAAATGAGTAAAAGGAACAGAACTTGAAACTTACAATCTTTCATAAGCAGCAGTCTGAATTTTAGTTCATCTGCTCTAATCTACATAGTCTATACAACCAATAACACAATAACATTTCTATTGGAGTCTCCGTACCAAGTGAGCCATGAGAGACACACATTTAAATCTGTAGTGCTGTGATCAATCAAATTTATTCCTGTTATTTGCGAATATAACCGAAAAAACCAACCCTCAAAGATAGCGAATTATATTGAATTTGGTATAATATGTTTTGTTCATTTATTTTATATTCAAATTCTAACATAGAAATTTAATTCAAATATTTTCTCAAATATCAAATGAGAACTTTTAGGGGTGAACCTTTTTATTCACTCCCTATTTTTTTAACCAATGATAACCTAACACCTAACACAAAAAATAAAATTAAAAATATTTAATTTTAAAATCAAATCCCTAATCAATCTTTTATAAAATCGAAACAATCATTTAACTACATTTAATTGCAAAATCTAAACGCTAACCACTTTTTTATAAACCCAAACCGACATATAATCTCTTTTAGCTATAAAATCTAAATCTTTATCCTCTTCTATAAACCCAAACCGACATATATATAACCACGTTTAATTATAAAATATAAACCTAATCGTTTCTTATAAATCCAAACCGATATATAACCTCGTTTAATTGTAAAATGTAAATCCAAATTCTTCATATAAACCCAAACCTGACATTTAACTTTGCTTAATTGTAAAATTTGAACTCTAATCTTCACTTATAAATTTAAACCGATATATAACTTATTAATTTTTTATTTTGGTTATTGTTATTATATATCAAATTCTGATTGATTAGAAAATAGGGGTTGAATAAAAGGGTTCACGTTCACTTTTACGATTGAACCCAATTAGTTCTTTTTAAAAATAAAGAGAAGTTTCGTTTAGTTAATACATACTCCAAATTTAAATTTACAATTATATAAAATCATATGAAATTAAATTTTAATTTACTATCTAATATTAACCTGATTTTTTTATACAAAGAATAAAATAACTCACACACATTAAAAAAAAAAAAAACTAAACATATTCTACACCCTGTATACAAGTAAAATGACAAGCGTGTCTACATTTGTTTTGATACACTAGTATACCAATGTCTTTAAGACTTTAACGCATCCAACTTAAGAACAAATAATATGAATGAATCGATTGAGGAAATGAATTATGTTATGACCCAAATCTATACTAGTATAATCGCAGCACTTTTTGTGACGGATGGGTAAAAAAGCTTTCGGGTATATCGGATATCCGACCCATTTTAAAAATTCCTTCACAAAAAATCTGTTGGGTCGGGTTATATTTAACCCAACTCATACACCGGATATTCCATATTTAATAATTTAGATTTTTAGAAGATTTGATTAAGATTTATAATTATGATTCTCCTATCATCTTTGTTTGATTTGTTTTTAACTGTTTTGAATCATCATACATAAAGTAAAAAAAAAAATCAATTTTTTTTCTGCATATACTGTGATTCGAAATTTTAAAAACGGACATATATTATCCAATTGACGAAAATGTGTGTTCAACGTTCTACATCGATTAAAATATTTAGACAATGATTCAGAATCATATCATAAATAAGAACATTAATAAAATAAATGAGTTTTTTGGCGGGATGGGTTTGGCGGGACGGGTTTTTGAATCAACAATAATAAAAAGATTAAAATATCATTAATCCGCCGCTTCAATACGGATTTAATCCTTATTTTTTTAATACAAATCACATGACGGGTTAAGAAATTACGGAACGGGTTATATTTCGGAAATGATTTATATGGCGGACGAATTTGAATCAATATTTATATACCGCTTTAATACGGGTTAAATCCTCAGTTTATTAATAATTATCTCGTGGACTCGTGGTATACCGTTACTTAATAACAATTGTAAACTATAATATAAATAAATATGTTATAAGTAGATACAATTTACAAAATATTTTTATACTAACTTTAAAATTAAATCATCCCGCGGTATACCGCGGGTTAAAATCTAGTACTTGAGTAAAAAATTTCATCTTATTACTTGTCGCATTTCCTTATTCAACTTATCTCACTACAAATCAACATCCAATTAGAAATATAAAACAAAAATGAAAAAGGATTCAAAATGCACTCAATAGAACTTCAGATATGAATGAACTCTTGATCGAAAAAGAAAATCGATAGTTTTTTCTAGTAACCTGCATGTATTACTAATAAGACTGGATTGAGGCTCCTTATAAAATTTTAAAATATGTTTGTTAAATAATCAATGAATTGGTATTATAGGTAGCGAACAAAGAAACTTTTAACATTTTTTTTTTTACTTTGAATTTCTAAAATTTGATAAAAACATACAAAAATTCAACATATTGTTTGAGAAAATATAGTAGGCCCATAAAGCCCATATTGCAGTAGCCACTAGCCATGGCTCATGAGTCATGATGGATCTGAACTTATAGATCTCTCATCTCCCTCCGGTTTTCAATTTGACCCACCCGGTTTAGTATGTGAACTCGGGTTTAGACAACTTTGAGCCAGATCTAATTTTATTTTAAACCAGCATATACAAAAACTCTAGAAACAGAAAAAAATAAAAACTCCCGATTGCTTTCTCTTAGCGTTTCCTTCTCCGGCGATCTTCTTCTTCTTCGACTCACATTGCATCGTCTCTCACTCGATCCGTCGTGCTTTCAGGTTCGTTATCTCTTCCCTGAGATTTTTCTGTGCAGTTTGATCTTCCTCTTCTCTGTTTTTTAGCTGTATCGACAAATCTAAGCTAGGGTTCTCGCAGAGTAATTGATCGGGAACTTCCTTCGTTTGATCTGTTTTGTATTGTGATTCCGATCTCGTGATTCGTATAATTGAATCGCGTTTCCATAATTAGCTCTCGATTTTTGAATCGCGTTTCCATAATTAGCTCTCGATTTTTGAATCGCGTTATACAGAAGTCTCCTTTATGTACATTTCGCTTCGGATTCGAAACCGTAGCTTCGATTTTTGTATTTGAATCGTTTCGATTAGATAGTTTCTTCCCTTAGGATCTGCATCGACTCGAATTTCGATATTGAATCTCTGTTACTCGTGGATTCATGTGTGATTTGCCACTGCAATGTTTGATTATCTGTGGTGATTGTTGCTTGAGGTTTAATTTGATCTCTCAGAATTGACTGTTACATGGTGATCCGTCTCGACTAAATCTTCGTTCTTCTATTCGTGTTAGATCTTTTCTTTATTTTATATATAATGTGCTTACATTTGTCTGGTGAGATATTCTGCTCATTGTTTGAGCAAGCAAAGTGAAAATAAGAAAGATGTACTTCACTGAGATTGAAATCCATTGGAAGACATGTGAATTACTCACTACTGATCAACAAATTCGTTTCATGTGTTCCTTTTCAGCTTGCATTGCGTAGCTTATGTCTAATTGTTTATATAGTTTCCTGGTGGAACTAGCGGAGAGTCACTTAGTTGAGTTTTCCTGTGGCAGATGCGGTTTTTTTTTTTTTAATTATAATTGATCTTGCTTTTGGTGTGATTGTATCCTATACATACGTGTGATGTATGAGTATCGAAGATGTTGTGACATATAGCATATGAGCTTTTACATTGTTTCAACTATTTGCAGTGAGATATTTGTGAACCTGTAGTTAATGATCTCTGCTTTTTTTCCATGAGCTGTGTTTTACAGGCTATTTTGATGTGTGTGTTGTTCCACACAGATGTTCTCATTCTATAGTTTTGCAATTTTACTTCTATTTGCAGGGACACTCATTTTGGAAACATGCCAGGCCAGAAGATTGAAACGGGTCATGAGGACATTGTCCATGATGTCCAAATGGATTACTATGGAAAGCGAATTGCAACTGCCTCATCTGACTGCACCATCAAGATAACTGGCGTTAGCAACAACGGTGGATCGCAGCCACTAGCTACATTAACTGGGCACCGTGGTCCAGTCTGGGAGGTCGCGTGGGCACACCCTAAATTTGGATCAATGCTAGCTTCATGTTCATATGATGGTCAAGTCATACTCTGGGAAGAAGCCAACCAGAACCAATGGACCCAAGCTCATGTCTTCACAGACCACAAATCTTCAGTCAACTCCATTGCATGGGCTCCTCATGATCTCGGACTATCCTTGGCTTGCGGGTCATCTGATGGCAACATTTCGGTTTTGACAAGCCGTGCTGATGGTGGCTGGGACACAACAAGGATTGACCAAGCGCATCCCGTTGGAGTCACTTCAGTCTCATGGGCCCCAGCCACAGCGCCTGGTGCTCTTGTGAGCTCTGGTCTGCTCGATCCGGTTTACAAGCTAGCTTCTGGTGGATGTGATAATACCGTGAAAGTGTGGAAGCTCTCAAACGGGTCGTGGAAGATGGATTGCTTTCCAGCTCTTCAAAAGCACACTGATTGGGTCCGTGATGTGGCTTGGGCACCAAATTTGGGCCTCCCCAAGTCCACCATAGCTAGTGGTTCTCAAGATGGGAAAGTTATCATATGGACAGTGGGAAAAGAAGGTGAGCAATGGGAAGGTAAGGTTCTCAAGGACTTTATGACTCCCGTGTGGCGGGTCTCGTGGTCGTTGACCGGTAACTTGTTGGCTGTGTCCGATGGAAACAACAACGTGACGGTGTGGAAAGAGGCTGTTGATGGAGAGTGGGAACAAGTTACTGCTGTGGAGCCTTAGGTTTTTGATGCTTTGCTATCTATCTCTCTGCTCTTACCTTTAAGGAACTCAATTAAACACTTTTTTCTTTAATCTTTTCTTAGTCCGGTTTGGTGGGTCTTTTTGAGGGAATGTTGAATTGGTTTTCTTAAAATTCACTTTTGGATTTTTTTTCTTTTTCTTTTTCTTTTCATAGAGACCATTTTAAAATTCGAGAAACCGAGATCTTCATGATATATAGTTTGTCTCTTCATTTGATTTTCTTCTTTCTGTATGGTAAAGATTTTAGTTTTAAAGAACTTTGACATATAACACGAGTCTTTCATCGATCTTATTGCATAACATTAGATACGTGTTGTCTGTATTTGATTCGATGTTCTTGTGATAATAAAAGGCCTTGTTGACCAAAAAAGAAATATATAAATAGGCCCAAAAGGGCCCATTAGAAAGCGTACAGGGTAAACGTGGGCCTAGGCCCTAGACCCATTTAGTTCTATATCAAAGATGATAAGCACCGTCTCTCTCGGCGTCTCGTATAAAAAAATCTCATTTGCTTTCTACAAAAACACTCCCAAAAATCTCTCCCTTGAATCTCTTCTACACACTACAAATCCAACAACTGAAACTAACTCAGAGCAAAAGCTTGATTTGATTTTGATACGATGGCGAGCATTAGCAACGAGCCAGAGCGTGAGCACAGAGACGAAGAAGAGACTGGAGCCAACGAAGATGAAGACACCGGTGCTCAGGTTGCTCCAATCGTCAGGCTTGAAGAAGTCGCCGTCACCACCGGTGAAGAAGACGAAGACACCATCCTCGATCTGTATGTATCTCCCTATCGTATGATCTAAATCGTACTGGATCTGATCGTTTTCCGTAGTAGTTCCTCAAGTTCTAGGGTTTTAGTTTTCGATTAGGAGCTTGATTGTTGTTTTGGCGAAATCTGTAGGAAATCGAAGTTGTATCGATTCGATAAAGATGGAAGTCAGTGGAAGGAGAGAGGTGCTGGTACTGTTAAGTTCTTAAAACATAGAGTTTCTGGGAAGATTCGTCTTGTTATGAGGCAATCGAAAACTTTGAAGATCTGTGCTAATCATCTTGGTATGATTCGTCTACGTTTGGTTTTATGGTTCTGGATCTGTGTTTGTAGTAGTCTCTTTTCACTCATTTTTGATCGTTTCCTTTTGGAATTTTATGCAGTTGGATCGGGTATGAGTGTTCAGGAACATGCTGGGAATGATAAGTCTTGTGTTTGGCACGCTCGTGATTTCTCCGATGGAGAATTGAAAGATGAGCTATTCTGTATCCGTTTTGCTTCAGTTGAGAGTGAGTGTGAATCTTATATTTTGTATTTTTTTGCTCAGTTGATTGGATCTCATTACCTGATTATTGCTTATAGTATCACTGACCTGTCTCGTTCTTATGTGATTATGGTCATTGTGTCATACTTTATAGTAGCTAGCTTCAACGTTATGATTACATGCTTGCTTCATTTTCTTTCTGCATACTGTTTTTGCATAGATACTGTCAATTTATGGCTTAGATCATTGGAGGATCTTGAACTTAGTGATATCGCCGTTTGACAGTATGTTTTGGAAGTTTTTGATATAGTGTCTTTGGCCAATTCACATATTTGGTTTAGTTTCTCTGGTAGATTTCATATGCACCTCATAGTAATCAGAAAGCTGAAGAGTTTGCTTGATGATATAACCATTTAATGGTGGCAATCAGACTAGAGAAGTTAACTATACAGCTTCAAGTGTATGATCTGCTGTGTGTAGTATTGGAAAGTGTTTTGTGTTTTTGTAACACTTTTTCTGTTGATAAAATGTTAGTCATAGAAGAGTTGCATAAATAATCAAGTCTTGTTTACATGATCAGACTGCAAAGCTTTTATGCAAAAGTTCAAAGAAGTAGCTGAATCTGAAGAAGAGAAAGAAGAGAGCAAAGACGCCTCTGATACCGCTAGTCTTCTTGAGAAGTTAACAGTGGAAGAGAAGAAAACCGAGGAGAAACCAGCGGAGAAAGCAGAGGAAAAGGAGGAAAACAAGAAGAGTGAAGCTGTTGACGAAAAGAAAACAGAGGAGTCTGTTACCTCAACTTAAGATGCATGCATGGATACACACACATACGGCCAGGTAATCGATAGCATGATGATGTGTTTTAAATCCATCGAAGGAAGACTTGGCTTTTATTTTAAATTGATACATGTTTTGAGTCGTGTTTAGAGTCTATATGTTAGTGTCACAAAAGTGTCACAGGTGACATTTGCATATTGCGAGATTGATTTTCGGGGTTGTTTGGGTTTTTTCATTATCTGGAAAAAGAGTATATTTTGAGTTATCTTATGATTTTGTTGAAAACAGTGTGGAGTCAAGAGGTGGTTCCATTTTGATTTTACAAAAATTTGTATGCAGAGTGGATGATTCGTGTGTTTTTTTTTATTTCAAAACAAGTCGTCTTACTTTGCATCACTCAGAATTCTAGGTTTCCAAAATTATTGGCTAGTAAATAAAATGGGTAAAGTTGGAATTAAATTAAGCGACCATTGCAGTTCAGTTTATGTTCTACTGATTTGGATAAGACTCTATGCAGAGCCTTCGATATATTGTTGATCAAGTCTCTCTCTCTCTCTCTCTCTGGTGGTCTTTCGTAATTCGTTGTATTACAAATGGACAAATTACGATTCAGGTTGGGTCATGTGTCACAATAGTTGACCGGACCCACTTGGTTTTCTTGGATTTTCACTAAACTGGATCCCGAAATTAAGAACCCATTAATTAATTCATGATGGTGACTTTGTCACACTTGTAGGACATCCCTCACATTTGGGGAAAAATATCATATATGATATACTCACAAATCACTTGATAGTACATATGAAAAGTGATATTGAGTCATCAAGAGTAAAGACTGATTTGTCAATGCGATTACAAAGATTCGAGTTAAAAAAATTAGTAGTATTTACCAAAACAATCAGCACTAACATATAGACGATCAACACGATTCAGTGAACAAACCTTGTATTAAAAAAAAAAAAAAAATTACAATAGATATAAAACACATTAGTGTTGCATTAAGCTTGTCGGTTACTTGAAGCCCAAGATACAAGTCGGTTGAGTTATTGGGCTTTGTGATTAGGTCTAGGAGTTATCTAGGTTCTAATCCTAGTAGGTTTAGGAGTCATCTAATCCTATAAATATGTTTGTTGAGTTGTGGCAAACATTAAGAATTTGAGAGAAGAGATTTGAGAGAAAGCTTTAGTTTTGAGAGATTTTCTAAAGAAATAAAGAAGAGTTATTTCTTATCTTGTGTTCTTGAATTCTCTTTTAAGTTCTTGAATTAGGCTATAGAATAATGGCCAGTGTTGAACTGTTGATGGCTGTTTTTATGAGATCAGGTGTGTTTACCCAAAAAAAAAAAAAAAGAATTCACAAAGGTTTATTTTCTGCGTTCTCTAAGTAAATATGACACGTCCAATACTTAAAAGTAAAACGTAAACCCTATATTATAAATTTATAATATAGTACCTTTGTCAATAGATAAAATATCATATATATACATCTAATTGCCTAATCGGAGCCTAGGCGATTAGTTTTAAAAGAACTAAAGAAACATAATTCTTTGGAGATTCTTTATGTACGATATTTTGTATTTCAAATGTGTAATAGTTACTTCGATTTATCAATGACTAGAAACAATACTTGGGTATTTACTTTTAAAAGAAACCAATTGAGTCACTACCTTGTTTGTCTAAACTTTCTGTATTAAGCTCAAATCTAGTAATTGTTAAGGAGTTCAAAGAACCTTCCTAATGAAGTTTACAAGATCCATGCATGTGCATTAATTAAGTTATAAGACCTAGCTATAGCTAGAAACTTCATCGAAACACCATACACAACTTTTTAAACCAAAAAAACATCATACTTACAACTTTCAACACGATCAATCAAAGGGACGCGTTGCTGCTTTTTCTTTCCTGTCTACTTTACTTTACAAAATTTAATAATTTCATATTCCTTTTTACTCTCGCAATCTTACTTTTTCTTGTGTTTCTTTTTTTTCTTGTGTTTCTTCTTTCTAATTTCTTGCCCATTTGTTTCTATTTTCCAGTAGCCAGCTGCCAGCCTTTCGTTTGTTTTGGGTTGTATTATTCCGATCCACTTTTACATGCAATGTACTTTGAGATATATTTTAAAAATATGGTACGGATGGACCCTACAAGATGACAAGACACTCAAAAGATTTGGTTGTTGAGGCTTTTAGAGGGACGAGTGTCTGATATTATAATACTTACATGGTCTTAAATTATTCCCAACCGTGTGCATGCATATGTCCTTTACGTTTCTTTGATGTGAAATCTGAATTATTGACGTTTGTTTGTACCAGCTATGCGAATACGACAGTAGCAAAATGTACACTTTGACTTCGCATGAATCATTCACAAACATTTTACATCTACATGCATGACAAAAAAACGTACTGAATTACTACTATTCGCTTTCTCTCTCTCGCGATGTGAATACTACAGTAGCTACGTGTAAACTCAATAAGGGAATCGATATATCACACACTTATTTATCAACTTGATAAAACTAGCTACGACTAGATTACATAACATTCACAAATCACACTCTCTAAACCAATTACCCATGTGGGTGGGTACTGAAAGATGAAAATGGATTGGTTAGATGGTATGGTTAAAATTCTTGTCCTCGGTTTTAATCTTGCGTTGATGCAAATGTTACTACTGTTTTTATGGGCAATGTCTTTGTTTACACAATTTTGGAGAGGAAGAAGTGATTTATATATATCTCCCTAACATTTTCATAGATAATACTGCTATAGTAATACCAAAAAATATCTAATATATTTATTTCTAATCAATCTAAGCATTAATAGATACAAGATATTGATTATTTTTTTTTAGTAAAGATACAAGAGATTGATTAGTTAAAAAAAAAAAGAGATTGATTAGTTTCATTAAATATAAAGTTAGGGTTATGTCGAATATATATATAGTAGTTATTTTTAAAAAAAATTAACATCCTCGGGCTATATAATTCTATCAGTATTGGCCACGCTCTATCAATTGGCCATGCATTAGGCCTCCTGTCGGCTGTGGGCCTGTGGCACAGTAAATTTTTTTTAGATTTTTGTCTTTCGTCTTTATTAATATAATTTTATTTTTTTACTTATGCCTTTTTATTAAAAATTGAATTTCAAATTATTATAAAACATTGATGTCTCGGTATCAAATTCAGTACCTATCAAAATCGGAGATGGACCAAACCATCTATTATTATATAGGCTACTAATAACAACAAATAAGACAATTGAAATAGACATATTCAAAATAATATGGGGAAAATAATTAGAAACTAGATTTTAACCCGCGGTACATCGCGGGGCTATATTTTCTTAAAAAAAATTAAAATGTAATTTGTTTGATAGATTATTTTGATTGTTAATTTTAGGATTTCACCCGTGGTATACTATCTTTTATAAATATCAACCCAAACCCGTCCCATCATATTACCCGTCCTGTGAAATTAAACATCATTTAGTTATTTTTCTTTTTAATAATACTTTTATTTAAAAGCTATATAATTCAAGTCAATTTAAAAATTTCTTTTAAATGGTTCCCATAAGATATATATACATATAAATTAAATTTGTATAGAGTTGAAATAATATTAATATTACAAACTTTTTATATAATTTAAATATTATAAATATTTTTAAAAATATGCAATATATATTTTTTGTTATTGAATAAGAGGATATTATGTGTAAGAAATGTAGAAAATAAGAGTTTAATATTTTTATTATGGAGTCGCAAGAAAAATCTTTTATTTCTATACATGTTATTCGTTTATTAATAATAAAAGAAAACAAATCCTTTAAATTAGATATTAACTAAAATAAACGCACCATAATTACTTATTAAGTAACAACCAATAAATTTCACCAAAAAATAGGTAACAACCAATAAATTCTAAACGCAGTAATTAAAGAATGAGATATAAAAAAAAAATATCAAATAAGATATAAGAATCTTAAAATAATTGAATATCTAAATAATTTAATTGTTAGTGTCGATTTTAATGCCTTCATTAATGTGGATTTTTTTTTTTACAGAGAAATATTTCCTAAAGATTATCACATTAATGACTCAGAAAATTAAGGAAGATATGAATTTATGATTCTCGAAATCGTGTTGGTAATATCTTTAATTAATATTTTTCAAATTTAAATAATTAATGCCAATGGCATTCATTCGTAAATACATTCCAACTCCAGGATTTATTTGCTAAAAGTTATCCAAAAATGTATATATAGATTAAAGAAAATGAGATAATTGATAAATGAGAAAATGGCAAATTCATTTAATGAGGAAGTTTGGTGGATCCCCAAATGGGCCTCCCACTTTTCTCCTCATTCATCTTACATTTAATTATTTTTTCTCTAGTCAACTTACACAAGCACACGACCACTTTTAAATCTATACTAATTAAAATAATAATGTAACCCAAACCACTAAATCTAAACTTATTAATTTCAAAATCAGAACTTTTATTTCATGCAGTATTTTTTTTTTTCAGTTTTTTTTTTTTGGTGATACTCTTATACAATAACAAATATCTAAAATTAAATATGTAATCTTAAAATCTAAATATATTAGACTGTCGTTTGTATAAATATTATGTAGTACCAAAAGATACCTACGAGAAACTTTGTTATCTAAAACTACTACAAATATTTGTAGGAAAACGCTTAAAAGAACCCTTCTAAAACAGGAAACATTCATACAACTCACGATTTAAGAAACGCTTCCTTATTTTTGAAACACTTTTCTGTATATTATTTTTTGATACCCCTTTTATTAATTAAAATTATTAATTTGCATGGTATGTGTAAAATGGAACAGTAAACATTAATTTCATATTGAAAATTAACTTGTTTTTGTGAAACAAAATAATGACATCAAACATTAAACTTAAAAAGAAACGAATTAAAGAAGTAACTGCGGGAATATTTTTTACGTAAAACATTAAAGGTTTTGAATGTGTAAAAAAAGTAAACAACAATTTCAAACCAAAGAATGAAGGTATTAAGTATTGTCGTTGCATGAGTAACAAACAATGTTTAATTAACAATTGCAATTTATAAGGAGCAGCTACATACATGACAATTGACACATTCATGAATTTTGTTTAACATCAACACATTTATAATTTATGCATGTAGCGTGCGTGCGTGACAATATAGTTTTTCACAAGTTTTTTCCTTCATTTTATTTATGCGGGTTTCGTTATCTAACAACTTGATCATTTGATAGATAAACTATCTTTTCTCTACTTATTTTCCGGATTAAAATACTTTGCATAGTTTAACAACACGATTCATGCTCCAATAAAAGAAACATCGTTTTTAACACACAAACACGTATCGTAAAAATTTTCTACTAGTT